GGGAAGTCTTAAAATTGATATCACAGATAGGTTAAGAAAGTTTAAGTAAAGTTTGGAGCATCCTGTTACTACAGCAAGGAAGGAAAGACTTGAAGAATCAAATATATCAAAAGAGTACAACAGCTTGAAAGGGTCTCCACTGGCTGGCTCCAGGAAAATTTGAGTTCCAAAATAAATAATGATAGAAACAATTATAAGTGATTTAATTCTGATTTAATAAGTAGGTCAGTAAATACTTGGAAAAGAAAATTTCTTTTTTTTTAAAGATTTATTTATTTATTTGAAAGGGCTACAGAAAAGGAGAGAAAGAGACAGAAAGAGAGAGAGAAAGATGTTCCATCTACTGGTTCACTCCTCAAATGGCTTTAGTGGCCAGGACTGGGCCAGGCAAAAGCCAGGAGCTTCTTCTGGGTCCCCCATGCTGGTGCAAGGGCCTAAGCATTTGGGTCATTCCTGCTGCTTTCCCAGGTGCATTAGCAGGGAGCTGTATGGCAAGTTGAACAGCTAGGACTTGAACCAGCACCCACATGGGATGCCAGTGCGGCAGGCAGCAGCTTTGTGCGCTACGCCACAGCACCGGTACCAGAAAATTTCTTACACTAGAATATCAATGACAAAAAGGTTGATGAGGTATTTTCCAAATTATCAATGTTAGGTGAAACTACTTGGTGAAATTTTATAAGAAACTGTATATTTACAGTTAAAAGTATTGTTCTGTAAGTTATTTTTTCAAAAAATTTTAATTGAGCAAATTTCATGTATTTCATAAATACAATTCTAAGAAGATAACCAAGCTTCTCTCTCTTCCCTTCCTACTCTAGTCTCCCTGCTTCCTTTTATTCTTTAATTTTCGCAATAAGATACTTTCAACTTTAATTACAAAGATCAGATAGTAACTTTCATTGCAGACACCAGGAGGACAATACCTTAATCAAATGACCAACGGTAACATCACCAATTTTGACAATCAACATCAATGACACTCCATATAATAATATTGAAGGAATATATGAGTGTTTTTGTTAGTGTTCCTGAAAAATGATGAATAGCAAACATTAGACATATCCATATTGAAAAACATTATTAGATAATCTGGCTTGTACTCATCAAACAAACATGACAAAGTTGAAAAGGCTGAGAAGTGCCATGTTTGAGTCAGTATTAGATTCTGGCTCAGGGGAACAAGTAGTCATAAAGGAGATTATTGGGCAAATCATAAAATTTGAATATGGTATATAGATGAAATAGTTTTGCTTCAAAGTTAAATTTCCACATTTTGCCACCAGTAGTTTAAAGGAAGTAATCGCTGAAGTATTCTGATATAAAGGGGCACTATATCTCCAACTTACTTTCAATGGATCATAAAAATTCATACACATATTTATAGAAAGATAAAGTAAATAGGAAAAATGTAAACTAATAGCAAATCTCAGTGAAAACTATATAGGGAGCTTCTTGTACTATCCCTGCTCTTTTCCATAACTCTGAAATGATATAATAAAAAGTGTAAGCAAAATGTGTATGCAGCTACTTACAGGTTGTTATCTTTATGCTTTAAAGGATAAGACTTTCTACAAAAAGACACCACGTTCATACAAACAATTTTAAAGATTTTTATAATAGACCGTTAACTTTCTTGGTGAATAGATATTTTAAATAATATGCATAAATTATTATGAATTTATTTCAGTGATATTCATTCATTTGTTTCTAACAGGATAATTTCCACATTTTTTTGCCAAATAATAAAGGAGTACTTCAGAAAGAACATGGAAAATGTTATAAAAAGATCAATTTATTTTGCTATAAAAATTTTTAAACCATATGCATATGAGTGTTGTGCCTTTTATTATCAAGAAACTAAAGATTCAAGAAATTTAAGAGATTGACATCCAATTAATCTTCCTGAATTAAAAGGAAAAATGTCTTCCAATATCACTAAGTAAATCAACAATTTAAGATTTACACAGAAATAGGAATATGGGAATGAAAATCCCTCACTGTATACTGAAGTGGTGTATTATAAAATGCATACTTTACATTGTAAAAATAAAGTTTAACAAGTTCTCTTGGGAGTATTGTACTTGTAAAAGGAAATACGGAAGTTTCGACTTAATCCACTTCACTAAACACAACTTTAAAACACTTGTTCCCTTGAATGTGACAGTTAGACTGGAATTTTAATATAATAGCACAGTCTGCTTCATTAATGATAGAATAATGTAAATGGAATAAATCTGCAGAATAAATCCCAATTTCAAGTTTTTTAAGCCTTTTGATCATCAGAGTTTAATCTAGAATTTCAACCACTAAATGTATATAGAAAAATAATTGACAAATACTGATTTGTGTTTCTATTTAGGTTTCTATTTAGGTTAGTTACATAACAATTCCTGATTTACTTGGAGCATTGTGTTCCAGGGCTAGGTAAAATTTTTTAGGCTTGATACCAAATGATAATCCACAAAAGTAAACTTGATGTGCTAAACATCATAAATTATTATTATTATTAGTGCCCTATGAGATAGCCTGTTGACAGAATGAAAAGCCAAACCACCTGCCAGAAAAATGTTTCCAAACTATATATCCAACAAAACACTAGTGCTTAAAGAACACCAAAAATATAATGAAAACCAAAATAAATCTGGTTAGAAAATGGGAAAATATATGAAGAGATATTTGATTGATGAGGATTTGATAACTAAGTGAAACGATGAACTACAACAACATCACTGACAACCTGCAACTGCCACAAACAAAACATGACTGGACATTAATCCAGGAGAAATGAAGACTTGCTTTAGCAAATGGATCCGCAATAATAAAAAACTAGAAATAATCCAGATGTTCTTCAGTGAGTGAATGATTGCCTTAGTATATCTGAGAAGCTATAGCAAAATACTCTAAACTGAGTAACTAATAAGCCATGAAATTTTCTCTAACAATTCTAGGAGTTGGGGAGTCCAAGTTCAAATCACCAGGAGAGCTGAGGTCTGTAAGGCCCTGCCTCTTTGCAGAACATCAAGGCAGTTCACCACAGCCTTTTCTATAAGGGAATCAACCCCATTCATAGGGATGAAGTGCTCACAACTCTATCCCTTCACAAAATTTCCACCTCTTAATACTATTTTATTGGGGATTAGATTTCAACACTTGAATTTGGGAGGAACACACAAACACTCGGACTATATCACTGGTTGAACAATCTGTGAAACATTAGTCAGAGTTCTCCAAGAAAAGAGAACCAGTGGTATGTATTAGATAGATGGATGGATGGATGGATAGATAGATAGATAGATAGATAGATAGATAGATAGATAGATAGAGAATTTAATTTCAGAACTGGCTCATGCAATTATGGAGGTCAGGGAAGTTTCACAATATGCCAAGGCAGCTTAAGAAGCTGTAGGGAGATGCTAGTTTAAGTTCCAGGGTCTGAAGGCCCTAGCTTCTGGAGTTCTGATGCCTGAGTGCAGGAGAGGGATGAGTGAGTTGCAAAATACAGAGTTAATTTTCCCCTTCCTTCACCTTTTTGTTCTATCTTGCCCTCAATGTATTGGATGATGCCCACCAATATGGTGATGGCATTTTTATTTTACTCCACCCACTGATTCAAATACTGTCTTCTAGAGACTTCTACAGAAATAATGTTTTACCAGCTGAGTATCATTTAACCTAATCAAACTGACATCTAAAATTAACCATCATCCATCCAAATGATAGAATAGGACTTATCAATTACAAAGAATTAATTATTTTTAATAATTTATTTTATTTGAGACAAAAAGAAGGAAATGCAGATATAGAGAGCTCCCATCCTCTGGTTCATTCTTCAATTGCCTGTAAGAACCAGAGGTAGCCAGGCCAAAGCTGAGAAGCTGGAACTCAGTCCAGGTCTTCTACGCTGGTGTCAAATACCCAACTGCTCCACCTATGAGCACTTACCACCAGAGTGAACATCAACAGGAAGTTGGAATCAGGAGAATAGCTGGCATTCCAACTTGGCATTCTGATATGGAAGACAGGTGTCCTAAGTGAAGTCTTAACTATTAGGCTAAATGCCTACCCCAGGAATTATCTATTGATACACATAACAGTCTAGGAGAATTTCTATAGTATTATGCTGAGTAAAATAAATCCAATCCCATCGCTTCTTGGCCTTTTGGCTAAGATCAAGTGTAAATCCAATCCCACAATGTTAAATACTACATGATTTCATTTATATTACAGCATTGTGACAATATTAAAAAAAAAACAGAGTATTAATTCCCAGGGGTTAAAGAGAAGGTGGGTGAGAAGAAGTGGGGTAACAGGAAGGATCCCTTCTAGAGAAGTAAATGTTATACATTTTGACAGTATCAAAGGCAGCATCCTGTTTCTGATATTTTACTAAATATGCAACATGATAAAACTGGGTAGGTATTAGCATTATAGCATAGCAAGTAAAACACCACTTGCAATGCTGATATCCAATATCAGAGTGTCAGGGTAAGTCCCAGCTGTTCCACTTCCCATCAAGCTTTCTGCTCATGTGTCGGGGTTAGAAGCAGATGATGGCCCATACCACATATTAATACTTGAAAATGAACACTAGCAGAACTACATTTTTACTTAAAAGCAAGGATTATGATAGGTATTTCTTTATAATTGTTTCAGGCACAATACCTGGTGTAAAAAAGCAAAATTTTGTTAAGTGTTAGCCATATTGACTAAGAATTGGATAATTACCAAACATATAGAAACACTGACCTACATATCCTCACACAGGGGAGGGAATCTGCAGATAGAGAGAAGTGTGCTGTCCATTTTGAGATACTGTTAGGAATCTGTATCATGATGTCTTAAGTATACATAGCCCATTTATAGAGGCTAGATCCTAAAACAAAAGCTACCGTGTGACAACACACTTTCTCTCTTTTTTTAATTTTATTTCAGGTATACAAAATTTCATGCTTTTCAAGTATACAGATTTAGGATCATAGTGATACTTTCCAGCTTACCTTCCATCCTGTCCATTTTCACAGCCTTCTTCACGCTCCCTCTCCTGTTCCCACTCCTAAGTTTCACAAACATTATTTTCAGTTCACTTTATATTCAGAAGATTAACCCTACATTAAGTAAAGATTTCAACAAATAGTATGAAGAAAAACCCACTGTTCCTCAACAGTTGAGACAAGGGCTTTAATAACTGATCATTGAATCTCAAAATGTCAACTTCACTCCGATACATTACATTTTAGGTACTCTACTTGTTTCTCTTCAGTCACCAAGTAATTTCAAAATTTGTTTATGCCTCTGGACCTTAAGTTATAAGAAATATCATTGACCTTTTATATAGTAGGATTGTTTGAACTTAGAGAAAAATATTATACTAAGTTGGAAGTGGTTTATTATTTGAAAGGATAACTGAAATAATTTCATTTAGTCAGTATGTCCCAGTGACCATTCTCATAACTGACTGTGAATAAGAATACCAGAAAATGGGTGGGAATACAGCACAGCAGAAGTTACCCCCGTCCTATACCGGCCTGGGTTCAAGCCCAGGCCCCAGTCCTCATGTAGTTGCCTGCTGATGTACACCCTGGGAGGCAATAAGTAGTGGCCCAAGTACTGAGTTCCTACTACACTCATAGGAGACCTGGACTGAGTAAGTGGCTACTCTGGCCACCTCCTAGCTGTATAGACATTTAGGGAGAAAAACAGAGGATGTGAAATTTCTGTGTGTGTTTCTCTGCTTTACAAATGAAATCAATCAATTCCATCAATCCATCAATAATAAACTTTAATTGTATTTAAATAAAAAAATTAGTTGGGTATTGTAACTGAGAAACCTCTCGTACTTTTTCAGCATTAACCCAAAGCAAAAGATTAAGAATTCTGAGCTTGGAATGTGCTTTTTTACCTAGGAGTAAATATATCCACATCCCATATCTACACCTCGTTCTGCCTGCTGCCTTCAATTTCTTGACAATGCTGACCTTGGAAAGCAGCAAGTGATGAGTCATGTGACTAGGTTCCTGTCACCCGCTTGGGTGACTTAGATTGCATTTCTGGGCCCAGGATTCAGCCCTGACCCAACCCCAGCCATTGAAGAAACGGGGAGAGTAAATAATGAAATGGCAGTTCTATCTCTGTGTCTCTTTCCAATAAATAAATGAATATTTTTTAAAAGAAACCTGAGATTGTCTATTTTGCTAAAATCCACTGACCAAGTTGTTTTTCCTGGATGCAAGGTTTAATGTTATCATTTCTTGTGGATAAAAGAATTCTAGACACTCTTGCTCCCCGACTGCATTGAATCCTCACCAGTGTGAGCTGCTAGGGGAAATGACCTTCACATGTCTGATTACCTTTGCCTTTTCCCTGTTGGTCTGGGAGCCAGGGGGAGGAAGCCATAATACTGGTATGTGTTTTATTCATATCTACCATGTCTGTGTTTTGGAAAACAGAGACTACTCATTCAAATGAAAATGAACTTAAAATAGCATTAGTTCTAGCCTTTTGGAGACTAATTCAAAAACAAAATTTTGAAAGTGGGAAAACATGTGCCAATTTGTGTTTAATGATTATGCAGCTAGGATGGACCATTTAAGTGTATTTTTAGAGATCATGATTTGCTTAAAGCAGAAAAATGTTTTAGAAAGATGATTTTTTTTAAAAAAGATGATATAGTAGTGTTTTCACATAGGTAAATGAAAAGGAAACTTAAATATGGTTTCCACATTCCTTAACCAAATCTTCCTATAAACTGGAAAAGGAGGCCTATATGGAAGGAGACTTCATTCATTCCAGTACTAGCTATCCCCCAGTTTTTCAGTAGCTGTAGGAGTTGTGCATACAGAAGAAGTGAAGTCTACATTTTCATGAATCTGCAATGATAGACCAATATTGATGTTGAGCTCCAAGACGAGTCATAAGAGTTGAAACTGTAGCCAGCTTCCTCTACTCAAATAAAACCATAGCAAGTAGGTGAAGTATAGGAGGTTGGTGAAAGGATAAAGACAGATAAGCCCAATCTAAATAAATTTCGACAGCTGTGGCTCAATGTAACTGGCAGAGAAATTTGAAGAACCATCCATCATTAAAATTATCAGCAAAAGAAAGGAATGACACACTGTGGTGAACAGACAAAACTGAAAGTTACTATACTGTTGTCTCCACTTTTATTTTATATTCAGTATCCGTAATAAAAGTGTATGCCAAACAAAGAAGCATGAAGATATGACACATAAATTTATAAAATAGTCCATAAAAGATGAACTCCACATGGCCAAGTATTCAGAATTACTAGATAAGGACTCTAAGATAATTATTACAAATATATTAAACAAAGGATGAATAATTTGGGACAAGAAATATTGAATGATGTTAAAAGCATCATTTGAAAATAATACAATGAAGAAAAGAAAAAGTTGACACAAACCCTAGAGATGGGATAAAAGACAAAGGTCTTCAGAAGAGAATTAAAATAATTCCTATGGCAGTAGTAGAGGGTAAATGGCAAAAGGGGACAGACTGATCAAAAAGCACAGTTCAATAAGATTACTAATCTGGCTCTTAAAAATTATCCACATGTTAAAAATTTCACCTATGCTCTCAAACAATCTATGCCATAATATATGATTGGGACTCTATAATTTAGCATTTTGTAGAAAAATTGAGAAATTAAATAATGCTGATAAGAGAGGTGTTATCATATAGATATGTATCATGTATTTTAGATATATTATTCTGGTGTTGTTACCATAAAGCACACTGTGAAAGGACTAACAGAAAAGAAAGTAGTTATATGGAGAATGAATGTTGCAGCTAAGCATATGATATAGAAATGATATACCAGTACCTGGAAATGTATATTAATACTTACATTATATATATGTAATATGTATACTGCTACTCTTAGCCATGCATTGCACCTTAAAAATCTAATTTTCAGAACTTCTCACAATTCCTTAAACATTCAAACTTACGAATATTATATAAGTTATCCCAGCTTTGGTATGTTTAAAGATTCCTGTAGCTCAGTGGCTCTCAGTGGACACAATTTGCTCCAAGAGGAATTTGACAATATCTGGTGACATTTTTCAGCATCACAATAGTGAGAATGCTACTGGCATCTAGGGAGCAGAGGTCAAGGGTACTCCTGAACATGTGACAATGTACAGACAGCCCCACACTATAAAATGTCTACACTGTAGAGGCTGACGAACCTGCTATAGTAAGAAATGCTTGACTTGGGGGGAGGGGCAAAAATAGTTACAAAGTAAATATACCGACAAGCAGCCAACTCCAAAAGAGAGGTTGCTTCACCTTGAAGAGTCCATGTCTCTTTATTTAATATCCACGCACATCCAGTGACAAATTTAAAAAGTGCTTCCATCATTTGACTGAATTAATGAGCTATGATTCTCATTTTCCATGGCATTTTCCCCATAATACACCCAGATTTATTTAGATGAAAGCAAGGTAGGAAAAAGAACACACTATAGAGGCCAACTGAGAAGCACAGGCAGGAGAGGGAGTTTCTCCCGGAAGCTCCATCCAGACTTTCACTCAACATTCTCATGAAGAAAATGCTTACATCATAATTTATAGAGGCAACACAATCAGTTTTTTTAAAATGTTCTTTTTTTTTCCTTTAGAAAAGAGTTCTCTTAGCACAATCCTGCATATGGAGAAATCTAACTGGTTTGACTTTTAAATGAAATTCCACCAGCTAGATAAATCTGGAACAAATGTGTAAGTTCTCATGGCCTCATCTTGCTTATTTTTTAACAGAAATCTGACAAGAATATAAGGCATTGATTTGACCATGAAAAGGGACAATAATTCACATGGTGTCTAACTAACACAGTAGCAGGCATGAATTAGCCACTGAGATATCTCAGTTTGTTCTTCCTACCATATCCATTTTGTAAGCACAATCTTTCAGGACCATCATCTTTTGATGGCTACTTGAAGACACTGAGTTCACAAAACAGCAGATTCCCAAATACCTCACTGCTAAGAATTATATACCATGGAAATAATATGTAATTATAAACGAACTACTGCATGATTTTACTGCTACATCTTCCTTGCTATATGATTTAGAGAAAGTGGGAAGCTGAAAGGAAATGGAATCTATTTGAATCATTGCGCCCTCTTGACTTCATATTTATCATTTATGCTTGTTCAGCTATATGTGATATTTCCTAAGACATTTACTTTGAATCTCTACCTGTCCTTAGATTTCACTTACAACCTTCAAGGGAAAGAGTATTGTTTATTTTAAAAGACATGCAAATTGTTTCTGAAGTTTTATTAAGGACTTAATATGACACCATAGTATATAGGGTCCAGAAGTAAGTAAATAACCAACTATTAGTTTGCTAAGCACAACAGTAACACACACATTCTTTTCCAAGTTTGTGAATGGAAAAGCACGTCCAACCACTCAGAAAAACTGTATTACCATCATCTTTCAAGTATTTATTTATAGGTAGCATAATTGTGATAGATATATATATGATATATATACATATAAATATAAATCTATGCCTATTAGAGGCATTAACTATTATGAGTTCATTTTAAATTACATCAATGAAAGTAACAACTTTCTAGATCCTTTCTGTAATTATGTATGTGTGTGTGTGTGTGTGTGTGTGTGTAAAATGAAGAAAAGTCCGTGTGTGCCAATTCTTTTTTAAAAAATTTCCTGACAATCGATGATAATCCCTCCTCCTATCTTGTGTGGAAGGACTTAGCCATAAAGGTACAAGAAAAAATTTTCCCGCCCCTTGCTACTTAACAATCTAAGTCAGAAAGACAGAACCTGCTGTGATATAGTGAGGGTGTTTAATCTCTTGTTGATTTGTTTGTTTTCATTTCAAGTGGACTCAACTTGTCGAAGCAAACATTGCTTCATCACAAAAATGTGTATTATAGGCCAGAGTCAGTAAACAAAGTATGAAGGAAATTACTTTCCATAATCTAAAATTTTACTTTCTGACATAGGAAAAATAATTAGTGTTTGCTCTGTCAAGGGAGATAGATTCTTTGATGTAACAGAGA